TATATTCTTTTTTTTCTGGCATTGGTCATACTATTAGTATATGTATTATTGTATATCTCTTAACACAAACGATGGTGTTAGCTTAGTGGCTCCACCTTGTATCTTTCATTTGCGTGACTCAGGTTTGAGTTTGCCCAAGACCCAAATTTTACTTCTTTGTAACTTAATTTTCTTCTAATTAGGTGGTGACATGTGTCACCATTAACACATATCATGATCATGTGTTAACACATGTCAGATCCTGGTTAAATGATTAATTTATTAAATTTTATTTAATTTAGGACCAAATTGATAGCATATATAAATAATTAGGTGGTGACATGTGTCACAATGACACGTGTCATGATCATGTTCTAACACATGTCAGATCCTATTTAAATAATTAATTTATTAAATTCTATTTAATTTAGGACCAAATTGATTATATAAATAATAAAGACTGAATGTATAATAATGTCAATTCCTTTTAACTGCCACATCATCATTTTTATCAATTGGTAACGACTAGTGGCTTAGTTGAAACAGTTAAATAATTATGTTGTATGATTGATAAATTTAAAAGATTGATGACAAAAGTAAAAAGGGCTAGATAGTTAAGTTGTCAACCTAGTAGTTTACACTTTTATTTATACGTCAAAATAACATTTTATAAATTTAAATTTCGAATTATTTTCAACCTCTTCTATATCCTAACTACTTTTTTTAATTAAAAAATTTCTTCAACAGATAAGAATTATACTATTATATTTATATAAAAAATACGTATCACATGAAATAAGATGAAATTAAATAATAATAAATCTGACATAATTGAATTTAATTGAATTCTTTTGGAATTTAGGGTTTAGAATGAAATTGAATTACTTTGGAAATTGGGGTTTAGAATGAAATTGAGGACTATTTTGCAAGTTTTAAAAGTTGGGGGACCTAAATTCAAGTGTCTGAAAAGTTTAATAACCTTTTATATAATTTACCCTAATTTCTAACGGTGGTTTAAGTTGGGGACCATATTGCAAACGGAATAAATGTTAGGGGACTGTATTGAAAGTTTTAAAAGGTTGGGGACCTAAATGCAAACTTCAGAAATATTCAATGACCATTACTATACTTTACCCTAAAATAAATGCATCATTATATCTGCAGTAGTTCATCCGTACTGATGAACATCCAATATGCATTAATTTTTCATCAGTTTTCTATTTTATTTTTCTGAGAAAAACTGTGGTCCCCATTTCGGGTTTCCCCCACAGATAAATGCTGTACTTATTCTTCAGCTTCAGTGCTCTTGTCTTCACACCCTTCATCAGTTTTGATCGTCTGCTTCCTTAACTTCTTTTACTTCCTTAATTAGGGATGGACCGGACGTTAGTACCTTATAAAAAAATTAAATTTCTTTATATTTTAATTTTTTAATTTTATACAGATTATTTAATTTTACACTTACGTGATTTTATAATTCTATGTCCTATAAATTTTTAATATAATTTTTTAAGTTTACATCTCACGACATAAATTTATAATAATTTTAGTTATGTTAATTCAAATTTAAAAATTTTCATAAATAATTAAACAATAATTATTGTGTTAATTTATATAATCTTGCATTAATGAATAAGTGTATTTCGTGAGAGATTTATTCTTTTTATTAGTTTGATTATTGAACTAATATTATTATGATATAACAAGTTCGACGAATGGTTTATCAATAATCCATGAATTTAATGAGATAAAATATTAAATTTATGGTAAGATCATTAATTTGAATCTTAATATTATTAATGAATCAAATTAAATTATACAGTGATATAATTAATACAAACACGAGGAAAAAAACACGTGAAACTAATAGTCAAAGTAGAAATGCAATTGGAAGCGAACACTTCTCGGTATTCACACATGATCCATATATCATCGAAAGATGCCTTTTTCACGGCTTTATAATTTTCTAATTTCTTTTGACTTCCGATAACGAAACTAAAGAAAAATGTTTAATTTTATTTCCATGGCTGCCTTAAATGTGAATATCGGACCTTATATATATCACTGTCCTTCTTTCTTCAGTCTTGTTTTAGTTTTTTTTTCTCATTAATTTTCTTGAAAAAAGGTTTGAATTTTATAAACGAGATATTCACACAATGAGTGTAATCAAGCTGAATTTGAATAGTAGCAAACTTTGGTCTTAAGTTTGATTCAAAATTTGATATTCGATTCGAACTTTATCAAACATTAATTTTGAAGTTCAAGATCAACTCAAACTCAATTAAACTTGTTTATCGATTTTTATACTCAAGTTCGAATTCGATTAGACTTGTTCTTCTCATTATATTGCATCTTACTATATTTTACCAAACAAACATAAACCATATATTGTAATTCATTGTAATTACAAATGAATGTGATTAATATCTCAATAATTACACTATTTTATCATTTCTAAACACACCATTATATGGCATTTGACAATTGCATATGTTAACATTCCAATGAAATGTGACTTTTTAGAATGTGATTAATAAGAATATTAACATTACAACATTTTGGAACACATAAAAAATTATCCTCATCAAATAAAATATAATTTAAAAAATTTAAATTATATTTATTCTAATAAAATTTAGTTTCCCATTAATGAAAACGTGATTTAATATATTTAGTTTTAATAAAATATAATTTTATCTCAAAATTAATATAGGATTAAATTCAAAAATATTTTTTATCAACTTATTGATAGTTATATAAAAACTTTAAAAATATTCTAACAATAAAACTTTGTAAACATTAGTTACAAGGAACGAAAAATCGACGTCACCGCTTATCATTATTACAATTAATACAAGTGACAAGTGACTATTAGCTAGCTAGTAGTAAGGCACAACCAACAGCATTAATAACCTTTTTTATGGAAGAAGCAATGATATCATTTTGTTTCCTAATTTAGATTAGGGTTTACAAAGTTTTCATATTCTTTCCTTTACAATTTATTTAAAGGAAATGCAACAAATTCTATATCAAAGGTTTTAAAAACAAGTTTATATTTAATAAATTCATAATATATAATTTTATTTATGTCAAATTAATTTTTTCAAGCAATTTATATTAAGTGTTAGATTATCATTTAATATAATAACGATAAAGTTTTTAACTTCACATATGAGATCTGTTTGTAAAATTAAAATCTTTTTATCGTTTATAATTAATAATATGAATTTGTCTATGATATTTATATTAAAACAAAATTGAATAATATATATATGATGAGAATTAAACTTAAATATTTAAAGATTCGAGATTTGATATTGTAACTAATTATGTGAATAATTCGTTAGGGGATCTAGTAATGTAGATAAGGGGATTGAGGGTGGTAAATCCAATTAATTAGTCATTAAATAGTGGGACTTGAAGGAAATGGGTTAAAAAAGCCTGTGTATGTTTTTGGGGATCTAACCGATTCACATGTAATTTATTAGTGAGAGTGGTGGATTCTGACAGTTATTCTCACAAGTAGGAACTGATATTAAAACCCCCTTTGAAATTAACAATGAAAGAGAGAGAGAGACGAACATAAACAGAAGGGGGTAACCGATGACGATGAAATCGAAAGATGTTGAAGAAAGCGAGGTGGGTTTTCAATGGTCATCCCCCTTGAATTATGCATTCAAGTGAATTCAAGATGGGGCAGTTAATGAAGGCAGGTAGACACTCCTCTCTCTCTCTCTCTCTCTCTCTCTCTCTCAATGCCTGCTTTTAATGGCTCTTGGAGTTGGATTCGGACCCTTTCTTTTTGTTTTTGCTAAAGATTAATAATAACCTCCAATCTTTGGAAGGTCGACTAGGTTAGGAAAACAGCCTTATTTTAGAAAAACTACAAGGGCGACATCGAATGGGTTGGGTATTTATGTCATCTGCTGTCTAGTCTCTGTTTAGGGTCCCTCACCAATTTATATTTGGTTGGTGAAAACTTCGATCGCCTTAACGTGTAAACCGCCATCCACAATCCCATGTATACATTCAAAAACTATTTAACCTATCTTTTCTCCCTGCTTCCAAGTGATCACAAGGTTTTCTTTTCCTCATATCACGGGCGAGTTCAATATATACATGAGTATAGTGACAGAGATGGATATTGAAAGGCGAATATAAAAGTATAAGTAATTGAAGGATTTTATTGGTTATATATTTAAGAAAGTTTGCAGGGACAACTGAAATCTTAGAAGGCTCGTCTGTTGCTGGTCCAAGAAGATTAAACAGTTTTCATGGGGGAAAAAGTGCAAATTTGGGACCTTAAGATTATTGATAGGCATGGAATGGCGCTTTTAGCCGATGGGAAAATTTACCTTTTTAGTTTGATATAGCTTGGGGGTGTTGAGAGCTTTAAAAGCTCGAGTCCATGGATTGATTAATTGATATGGGGATTTGTTGAAATAGAAAAAGGAGGGTGTTGAAAGCTTTAAAAGTTATAGTTCTTTGAGTGACTCAATTGTGGAAGTTGAAGTTATTAAAGATCCATCGGTATTCAAGGCTAAGTTCCCCCCCTTCAACTGTTTACAGACTCTTCTCATTTAATATCCATAGCTCCCCCTTTCCACACCTCTCACCGCCTTTCTTAAGTATCCAAAACTAAATATAACTTTTGCCTTGGCTCACCTCACTGTCAAGCATGGCTTCAAAAGTCAGTAACCCCACACCCTACCACGTCGGCAAAGTTAAGCTTAGGTTTTCCGGGAGTTAAAAAACGACTGTAACACATTTACGGTCATGATTTAGTTTTGAATCGGCAGGGGTTATAAGAGGCATCAGGATTAGGTGAAATTTATATATAAATGACCAAAAAGATAGGTTGGTTAGATCTTCACATCTAAGCTTTGAATAGCAGATGCTTGGGTTAATTGAAGGCCAACTTGGAATGCACGTCATGCATAGGTAGGCCCTTCCTTTTGGTTAATTCTCCTCCATCAATAGCTTTCAAAAAAAAATTCTCCTCCATCAATAACTTTGCCCTTACACACCAAATTTCAGCCTATATAACCACCTAAACCATTTCACCCATTTGATCACCCTCTCTCTGAAAACACACAAAACTGAGAAAGCTTAAGCTGTATAGCTAGCTTTGGAGTAGTTCTTAATTTCTATATGATTTCCTTTCAATCCCCCCTCTCGCCTCCAGACATGATCAGAAATACGATCCCGGAGTTTGAGAATTCATCAAAGAAGAGAAAGTTGGAAGATTCACAAAATGATCATGAAAAAACTTCAGACAAGCGATCAAAACCTGAAAGCATGAAATCGATGTTCAATATGGAGCTACAGCTCGAGACTCCATTACCTTTGGAGTGGCAAAGATGTCTTGATATTCAGGTTTACATGCATGCATACATACATACATACATACACACAAATGTTATATGTATAATTAGATGAAGAATATGCTTCAGCAGTTGTATACTGTTACATAAACAACCCCTATAACCATATAGTTGCTTTGCTTTCTTTTGTGTTTAGTCAGGGCAGATACACTTCTATAATACAAAGACCCATACGAGAACTTGTAAGGATCCGAGGATAAGCCCTGAACCCCCAAGCCCTGGTCACATGAGCTTAGACCTTGAGTTAAATCTACCGTGCGATTCATCAGTAAGGAAAGCTAATACAACAGATCACAGATTAATCAACAAGCAAAACTCTGTCAGCCCCACGAGGGCCGGTTCGGTCGATAAGAAGACCAACTCATCGGGGGGACTAACTCGCAACCTTTCATGGTTGGCTGTGGAGGACGATCAGCAAGAGCAAGAGATGGTAGCAACGGTGTGCATGCGATGCCACATCTTGGTGATGCTTTGTAAGTCATCACCTTCATGCCCCAACTGCAAATTCACGCACCCACCAGATCAAGGCCCTCCAAAGCTATTCAAGCAAAGACTTAGCCTCCTGTGCTAGTAAGGTCAATCAAGTTCTTTTATGCTTGGGATTACAAATCCACTCCAACGTGTGTTAATTAAATCTGTATCTCTTGATTCGTATTGAAAAACTTAAATAGTCTTTTCTAGATTTCTTAAGCTGATTTATATGTATACATATAATTTATATACAAGCATCTTATCCCCAATGAAAATTGTCTACTGAGAGAGAGAGAAATATAGAGAGAATTAGGTCTAACTTACATAGTACTGACTTTCATGACTGTAGATATAAATATATATGGTAATGCTTTATATTCTAATATAAACATATATGGTAATGCTTTATATTCTAATATTGTTTAAGCAAAAGGCTATTATAATGGGTAAGAAAATGGTGGTTCAATATCTATCCCTCATATACGGCCCCAAAACTCATTGTCAGGTGTCTTCAATATTTACACAGGAGAAACCTACATGGGTTTATGGAGATTAATCAGAAACTATAGTGTAACTAACATAACCTTAAGACTGTTGAGCAGCATTTATTGGTTTCATTGTGGGTGAAAAGTTGTAGTGGGTGTAGAATTGAATTCAAGTGCGAGATCAAGCTATACAATGTTTTAACTCTATTTTTTTTCTATAATATCTTGAGAAATTTGCAGTAACATATAGAACTCTTATATTATTTCCTACAAACACCAACTACAATGCAGACGGGGTGCGCGCGCACACGCGTTTATATCATAAAGCATGGAGTTCAAATGTTGTCATCAGCTTACAGGGTTATGAAATTAGAACCTGAAGGTATCCGAAAGGGTATGCTTGTAAACAAATATTATGGTTTGAGATGGACTTTATAACTGTGTGTGCAAAATTCTTGATGGTATAGCTTTATATGTTTGCTATATAAATGTAAATTACTACTACAAGATCCCTTGTTGCTATCAGTTCTGAGAAAGTGCTGGAGATGATTCAGATATGAACGCTGGTTCCATTCTGAAACCGTAAAGGTGATGGAAAGCCAAACCCAAGCTTACAGACTGAAGAAATGCATGAATAATCATATCATTCATCTATAACAATGTAAACATGAACTTAAGAAATAACTTTACAAGCTGAAGCCTGAGAGGATTTTCCCACAGAAGGAAAAGGAGAGGTGGAGTACTGTACCAATGTCACAGTAGAGTGATGGGAGAATTCAGCATATTTTTCTACTTATATATATCTAACATAACATAATGGCCAACCATCATACTCATAAAGGTCTCTTAAAATTCAGAAAAGAGTTACCATCATTCTCAAGGGGGACAAGGTCACTTTCCACGACGAGCAGGACCGAGGTTAGAACGTTGGAGGTCCTGTGTAAATTCTTAGAAAGAAATCTTAACTTTTTTTAAAGATGACTTTATTAACTAAAAAAATCAGGTAATCTTTACAGCTGTAACACAGTACTAATTATTGATATTTCCCATATGACTTCAACAAGATTCAACCGTAGGTTCTGTGATTTTGAGCCCAAAAAATTTACCACTGATCCATAATACTTTATTTGCTTTTTTATTGTAACAATAATAATAAATCTAATTTTTTGGGCCCTTGCTATTCTGGAGCCCTGTTCCATCGCGCACATTACGCTGTCCTAATCCCGCCTCTGACGACGATAAACTTAATTTGCAAGTGTCTTCTATAACACGTGGAAATGACATGATTCTGTTCGGATTTGAAGCAACATACTGTTTAGAGGTATCCAGTTGTCTCTCAATTCAACTTAAGATCCTCCAAGCGGCTTAAAAGCACAGGGAAAGTTATTCCAATGAAGGAGATGAAAGACCCGTACTCCAGTTTTGAACATGTCCAGCGTGCAAAACACAAGATCTGAATTAACGAACCCTGACCAATATGGGAAGTGGCAAAGACCAAGAACAAGATATCCGTGGCAACAATTCCAACATTGAACATAGAAATCGATCCACCAAATCAAACCTAAAGCTTCTGGGAGTCAAACGAGATTAAAAATATTCAACTAACTCTTAACATATACATGGTGAGTTTTCAATGCATTTTACCCTGTGGGTACAAAGCGCTACTAGTCCGGTTCAATCTACACCGGTTGAACTGCTACTAGTGAACCGGCCGGAACGGTTGAACCGTATGAACCGGACTGACTGAAAATCAGAAAAAACTAGAAAAGCCACCAATTTTATTTTTATTTTTTAAATTAAACCAAACGACGTCGTTTGTTAAATGAGCCAAGTCGAACTCGAATATTGCTGAGCTCTACTCGAACTTGAAAACTTTAAAAGTAAGCTCAACTCGACTCAAACTCACGAGCTAAAAATTATCAAGTTCACTTGAACTCGAAATATAATATTGAAACTTGAACTCGAAAAGGCTTGAACTAAAAAAAAAATTAGAAGCTTGATTGAAGCCTAAAATTCTAGCTTGATTGAAGTGAAAGAATAGTTCACTCAATGCTCACCAAAAGGCTCCATGATTTTGAATGTCCAATTACCTCTATTATTTATAGAAGTTAGTTGGGATGCTCTTCTATGTTTCTTAGCCATGTGGGATTATTTTGTTCTCATATTTTTGCTCTTTAGACTTTTGGGATGCTCTTCTATGTTTCTTAGCTATGTGTGATTGTTTAAAAAAAATTAAACCAAACAATATCATTTTGTTATGATTTTTTAGCCCCAAATTTATTTTTTAATTATAGTTATATAATTATATTTATTATTTAATATGTTTTACCTTAAATATTATATTGTAGTTAATTTGAATCATTTTGTTTCACTTGATTTTATGGTTTTTAACTTATATATGTGTGCTTTGAATATGACTTGTGATATAAAAAAATATTTTTATTAAATATTTTTGGTATTTTTATTTAATTTTTTAAATAATTATGACGTCGTCCGATTCTTCCGACCGGTCGGACCAGTTCGACCGGTTGAACCAGTGAACCGGTAGCATGGCCGGTTCGCTAACCAGTCCGATTCTGAAAACCATGGATACAATATACATGTAGATTTATTTATTATTAATAGAATGAGATGTGATTATAAGATAATATATATGTCACTTTAGACGTAACTGTTCAATCCTAAGTCCTTTAGGTGAGAGAATAACATTTTCTTTTACCACTTAGATTTTTTTATTTTTAACAATTCGTACCAAGGGGAGGGAAGGAGAACTTTGTTCCTAATGGGTATTGAACCCACAACCTAAGGGTGCGTTTGGTTCACAGAATATATAATTACCAATGGGAATAAAAGATTACTAGGGAATAGGATTACTGGGAATGTTGTATTTTGTGTTTGGTTTGTTTAGTATGAATGTAAGATTACCGCGTTTGATTAAAGGAATAAAAGATTATTGGAATATATATTTGACCAAACTGTCCTTATTATATATTTGTTTTTTAACAAGTTGAATTCTACTATAATATTACTATAAGATATTTATATATTTTCTTTAAAAAAATTAAATTCATAAAATTTATATAATTTTTTATAAAATTAAAAATATAAAAAGATTTATTGAAAGGGTAAAATTTTATTTTAGCCCCTAAACTTTATATAAAATTTTAATTATAGACTTTTTTTTGTAAATCTAAAATAGTTTAAGGATAAATTTGTAATTTAACCTTCGTAGAATTTTTATTATTCAATGACAGAAGAATGATATTTTTGAGAAAAAAATTTAAGGGCATTTTAGTCCAAAATGTCGGTAATCCAACAATACCTAAGGGAATGGAGATAATGACATTCCCGGTAATATACCTAAAAAAATCCACTGTTAGTAATAAAACATTACCGGGAATGAAATTACTGGCCAACCAAACGGGGGAATGTGGGTTACATTCCCCCGGTAATCTTATATAACTTGAACCAAACATCCCCGAAGGAAAATGTGTCAACTAAGAATCAAAATCTGAGATGATTATAACCTAAGGGGAGGGAAGGAGATTAATTTTATTCCATGTTTTATTATAGTGTATCAACATATTTTTTTATTAATCTGAGATGATTACAAAGTAATATATGTTCGAAAGACTACCAACTATTTGACAATGAACACTTAAACACCCTGCAGACGTCGTACTCAAACTCGGGACCTCTATAGATAACACTAATCTCTTTAACCACTATAAGATAGCTCGATTCGTACATAGTGTATCAACTTTATTTAAGAATCAAAATCTTCATTTAAAAAACAAAAATGAATAAATAGGTTATTTTTACGATATATTAATATTCACTTTTATTTATGATTTAAAATTAAAATATTACCATCAACAACCAGTTGATCTAATAGGATGAGGCACTAGGTCCCTTAAGCAAGGTCAGAGGTTCGAATCCCGGCGTTTGCGAATGGAGCAAACTGGGGAGGGTCGCCCTCGCCTCTGCAGTACCCGAATTGGATTAATCTATCAATAGATAAGATATAAGTGATTAATTCAAAAAAAAAAATTAAAATATTACCGAAGATATAATATCATTTATAAAAATATTCAAATTAATATTTATTCAAATATAATTATTACTTTTTAAAATTCAATAAAAATATTATATGTATAATTTAATTTATTCACCAAATATGTTATATTGTAAATTTTTGAGCCAGATAAGTGCGAAATACATATCATATACTCTAACACGTCTTATATCGTTTAATTCGTGTTAAATTTACATACTTCAAAGATGGTTGAATTTGAAGTATTGAACAATTAGGAGTTGAAATTGAGCCTAAAGGATAAGGTTGGTAATTAAAAAGACATATTTTTTTTAAGAATATATCAATAATTCTATATATACCCAATTGAATTTATATCAATTCAACATGAATTGACTAGAAGATCAAAAAGTGACCCGCCTTGAAAATGTATTAATCTAATATTGATTCAATAAAAAAAATCGACTTAAATTTAATAGTGACTCGAATTGGTTGATTTGATAGTGACTCGAACAAAAATTGACTTATCTAATACTAACTTGATTAAAAAAATTGATCGATTCGATATTGACTCGATCTAATTTACTATAGATCTAAATTAAATTTGAACTAGATTTGATTTAAATCGAATATAAACCTAACTCAAAATGACTCGATCTATATTCAATCTGGATAACTAGATTACCATCTCTATATTTGTTAACGTTGTGACATATTGGACTGATTTGGTTGATAGAATAATAGTTTTAATATTAAAGTAGGAAAAAGTAAATTGGAAACGAGTCCATTCGAGGGCAAAAATAAGCTTGAAGGCAAACTTACGACCAAAAGTCTACATAGGCTGAGCTAGTCCACGGGCTTGATGGGCCACCAAGGAACTCCTGGAAAAACAAATTTCGAACATTCGGATTTGGTTTCCTTCGTTTTTTAGGACTATATAATGATCAGGGTTCAAATTTCAAAAGCAGCTTTCTGTTTTATACAGAGAAAGAAGAAGAGGGAATGGAAGGAACTGAAGTGGAAGCAAGAGATGAGGATCGAAAATTACAGATCGCAGTTCGCAGTGCAAAAGCTGCGCTTCTGCTTTCTTCACTGAAATCATCAGTGGATCGCGTCTTCGAAGCAGCAATCAACGACGAAACTGAGGTTCGTGCTTTTTGATCGGATTTGATGTTTAGTACTGTTCAGATCCCCCTTCATCTCCCCCTTTTTTTTTCTCTCCCTAGACGCTGGTAAAGGAAAAGATGAGAAGAGAGATTAACAGCCTGAAGGTGGAGTTAGTGAGGGAGCGATTGAAGATTAAGAAAATCAAATTTTGTGGAGTGATGGAGCTGATTCTTCAAGCCATCTTGGTTATGATGATTTCCAGTTTCTTTATGAAGCTAGCACTTGACGATGACTTTCCCTTCTGTAATTACTCTGCAACCTAGCTGTAGCTAAAAGCTTTTCAAATATTTTCAGTCATTTAGGAGACCAAACTTATGAATCGAGAAAATTTATTTGTTTCTGTGATATCAATATGCCAAACAAATGTACTCATCAGTATTATATCGCTCAATTTTATGCTACAATAAATTTTCCAATGTCTTCGTCAAGTTTATCCGCATAAATAGCTATGTTTGATTATACATCCACTTTGATCAAATCTATATTGATAAGACAATATTAATTTTTTTTAAAAATGTAATATCTTAAAAAAAAGCTTGATTGATGTGATATACTTTTGTAAATTTTTTTTTATTTTTTTAAATAACTTTTTAATAAAATTAAGGGTAAAGTATATAAATGGTCATTGAACTTTTTAGATACTTGCATTTAGGTCTCCCAACTCTTAAAACTTGCAATACAATCACCAAACATTTAGTTTGTTTGCAATATGGTCCCCGACGTAACGGCCATTTCACTACCGTTAGGGTAAATTATATAAATGGTCACTGTACTTTTCAAGTGCTTGCATTTAGGTCCCCCAACTTTTAAAACTTACAACACAATCAGTAATTATATTCTAAACCTCAAATTCCAAAATACTTTAATTACATGCCCAACCCCAAATTCATAATCCATTCTCAAAATATCTCATAACAACTTGAACTTGAAGCAACAACCCTAAAACCTCAAAACATAACCCTAAATGCTAAATTTCCCCACCAACTAACCCAACATAATCAACAACATTTAGTTCATTTTGGGTCCAATAACAATAAGTGATTATATTGGGTTTAGGATTAAAATGTTTGATTTAACCAACTATAAGTGAACAATACTTAGTTCGATTCGAAAAAATTATTTTTTTAGTTGAATTGATTCAAAAAATTTGATACAAATTGACATTGAGTTGTAATTTCATAAACTCAACTTAAAAAAATTTCAAGTTAAAATCGAGTTGTAAAATACAACTCGAATATCTCAAAATTTTTAGCAATTAGTGGATTAATTTTTAAGTTTGAGTCAAGTCCCTTGACTCTATATGATATATGTATATCACATATGAAAAAAATATGAAGAAATATATGTATTGTATATGGTTAAAAAAACTATTTAAATTAGAATCAAATAATATTATAGTATTATAAATATTTATAATTAAATTTAAACAGAAACTCGAAAATTCAATTCAATTCGACTTGATTTAAATTTTATAAACTCAAATTGAAAAAATTTCGAGTCAATTATTTTACAAATTGACCTGGATTATAATAAAATAATATTATAATATGATAAATATTTATAATTAAATTTAAACAGAAACTCGAAAATTCAATTCGACTTGATTTAAATTTTATAAACTCAAATCGAAAAAATTTCGAGTCAACTATTTTATAAACTGAATTGAGTATTTAGGTCCAATATAACCCTAAACCTAACATTATCACTTATTATTCACTTATAGTTGGTTAAATTATTTTGAACCGATTATGTTTTAAGGGTTTAGGGTTGCTGCTTCAAGTTTAGTTTCTTATGTCAGATTTTGAGAATGGATTATGAATTTGGGGTTTGGCATGTAATTGAAGTATTTTAGAATTTGAGGTTTAGAATGTAATTGAAGTATTTTAGATTTTTGGGTTTATAATGTAATTGATGGTTCTGTTGTAAGTTTTAAAAGTTAAGGGACCTAAAAGCAAGCGTCTGAAAAGTTTAGTGACCATTTATATAATTTACCCTAACAACACTGAAATTGCCGTTACGTCGGGACCATATTGCAAACGAACTAAATATTTTGTGATTGTATTGCAAGTTTTAAAAGCTGGTGGATCTAAATGTATGCATCTAAAAAGTTCAGTGACCATTTATCTACTTTACCCTAAAATTAAGAGGTCAAAAATATCATTAACCCTTTTTGTTTTATCCCATAATAATAAGCGTCACATAATCTAATTTTACTTTTTTTTACAGTTTTCTATATTTTTTTTGTTGGGGGGGGTGGGGCAGGGCAATAAAACTGACTCGGGTTACTCATACAAGACAAGGTAAAGAGGCAGTTATAGGTAGTTCGGCGACGGATGCAAAGCCGTAGCTGAATTCCTCCCATCGTTTACTTCACTCCCTTCTTCATCACCGCCCCATTTAACTCTTCTCCTCTTCATTTCCAAACATAATAAACTTTCCCCAAATCACCAGGCCCCCGCCATTTCCACCTCCGTTTTTAACAATGCCCAAACTCCATCTCCAATTCAACAACTCCCTCCCCGACTGCCAAGTTCACCTCCATTTTCCCTCTAACTCTAAATTAATCGTCCCTGGTGGTCTGTTCATCGACCCTTGTTTTCCCTCTTCCTTTCTATACTTCGTTTCCCCTTTTAGAGATTTTTCTTCTTCCAGTAAAATGGCTCGCGTTGCTCGTAGGCAAAAGCGTGAGGCGGTTGCTGTTAAAGATGTATTTTTTTTGTCTGTTAGTTTCAGCAACGATGGGCTTATTTCAGAACACAAGGAATTTCAGCTACAAAATGAAGTGAAGAAGAACAACAACGGGGTGGGGGCTGAAGCCAAACGGAATGTTAGGTTAACGTGACGTAGCGCAGTCAATACTACAAAGCATTTGTGGGCTGGAACCATCGCGGCCATGGTTTCCAGGTAACCATAACGAATTTCGTTCGTAATTTAGCTACGCGCCTTTTCATATTTGCCTAGATTTCCCATGCATTTCTAATTATTGTTTGAAATATCATAGAACGTTTGTTGCTCCGTTAGAGAGATTAAAGCTGGAATATATAGTGCGTGGTGAACAAAGCAATATATTTGAGCTTGTTAAGAAGATTGCTTTGACGCAAGGATTGTTTGGATTTTGGAAAGGGAACTTTATTAATGTTCTTCGCACGGCTCCATTCAAAGTTGTGATTTTTTATGCTTAAGATACGTATAGGAAGAAATTGCTTAGACTGTCTGGAAATGAGGAGACCATAAATTCTGAGAGATTCATTGCTGGTGCTGCAGCCGGCATCACTGCTACTGTTCTCTGCTTACCGCTTGATACTGTATGTTGAAACCTAATATTTTGTTCTTGACATTGTTGTATCTTCAATTTATTCTTAGTCGTGTAGCCATGTTCAGTTCTTGCCTGTATGCACTTCTATATTTTAAATTATGGGCAACTGTTATAAATAGCACATGGGTAGCTGCTAATCCTTTGTTTTATTGGAGGCTTAACAAAGTTGTAAGAGACCAATTTTAATGTTCTCTTCTAGTCTTAAGTCTTGGGAGTACAGTTGCTGGACCTAAAGATCAAGATAATTTCCGCTATTGTCATAGCACTGTCATGTCTAACATTATATTTTCTAACCAACCAAGGTTAAGGATAGTGGCTCCAGGGACTTCGTACTTTGTTAATTACTATAATCCTATATGGTAGCAAAGTGTTATTTGAGATTTCTACAGAATAACGAAGTTTGATTCTAGCTGGAGAGTTTTTAACGCTTAAAGATATATTAAAAATGTGTTACATGTACTCAAACTAGATTGAAATATGATATGTTCACCAATTGAGGATTGCTATTTAGACGTGTCATTGCTTTCGTCATTGTGACTAGCTATACTCAGGAGGTCAATTTTGCTGACTATGAATAGTTTCATTTTGTTCATGTCCTTCTGTAGATTTATTCTTCTTTTTCTAGGAGGGTAGTTTTTTATTATTTGTTTATTGTTGCGGTGCAGATCTGAACCAAGATAGTGGCACCGGGTGGAGAAGCCTTAGGTGGTGTAATTGGTGTTTTTCGCCACATGATCCAAACTGAAGGGTTCTTTTCTCTCTACAAAGGTCTAGTGCCCTCTATTGTAAGCATGGCACCTTCAGCCGCAGTATTCTATAGTGTGTATGATATGTTGAAATCAGCTTATCTGCGTTCCTCAGAGGGTAGGAAAATAATTCAGAACGAGTCAAATAGGACAGGAGCTGAAAGCTTTGGATCAGGTAGAGTTGGGACCAATGAGGACGTTATTATATGGGGCTATGGATGGTGCTTGTGCCGAAGTTGCTACTTACCCATTTGAAGTTGTGAGAAGACAGTTGCAATTTCAAGTCCAGGCAAGCAAAATGGGTGCACTGGCAATTGGTGTCAGGATCGTTGAACGAGGAATTTCTGCTCTCTATGCTGGGCTAATTCCCAGCTTGCTATAAGTAAGTGGATAAGCTTTTTAATAAAATCTCACTATTTTTTTCGCAAATGCTTTATGCTAATTATCCCTCTATAAGTGCAGACATGAGGTCAAACAAACAATATAACACTAGAACATGACAGTTCATCTCACAAATATATTTCTGTGCTGCTGTCTGAAGTTCTTTGAATTTGATTATTTTCTACATTATTATTTATATAGTCATAACATTTGATCTTCTTGTAGATGCTTAATTTGTCTGGGCCTATATCATGGGCAAATGAAAGTAGTTTTTGGGAGTTAAAAACCAGAAAAAAAAAGATAGTGGGGAAATAACTACCAGAAACGTGGGACATTTAACCACTAAAAAACGAGAGCATTAGGGGGGCTACCAGGGAGGAACCAGAGGGAGGAAGAGCACAGAACAGGGGAGAGCACTGCATTTTTTTAGGGGATTCATTGTAACAAAAAACAGTGTAATCGTTCTCATTTGGACACGGAAAATACAAGGCTAGAATTCGAAGTTTTAAGTTGTTTTTCCCAATGCTTCCATAAGTATGTTTTTTTTTCGTTTTTACATCCATTCAAAATGAAAAAATGAAAAACCTATTATCCCAATAGAAATCATCAACGAACATAAACAATCCCAGACAGTAATAGCAAGGTTCCGAATGAAAAGAGAAGAATTTAGAAGGAGATTCAAACGGAAAAGAAGAATTCGGAGGAAACCTCACCTGTCTTAGCAGTAGCAGCTTTCGTGCTTTCGTTGGAAGGAGGGAACGTCTTCAACAGTCAAAGAACAACAAGGCAAACATAAGCAGTGTAAACACTTTTCCCGTATTCGAAAGGGCGAGCAGTGTAACAAAGATTTTCCCTACTATTCTCGAAGCAATACAAATTTATTGAGGTATTTTTTATTTGTTTCAATTTTTGTTTTCCAGTGCCTTTGT